CCATTAAGCACTAAGGGTTTCAACCTCATTCTTTGAAGCCCACTGCTGTTGTGTCCTCACAGTTTACTCTCAAAATCAAAGCTATGTCAATTCACAATGACTTGGGGTCTTGTTTGGATTTTGATGGTTTCTTTTCGATGGTTCTGCTCTACATTTTCTGCCCTTATTAGCATAAAATGGCCTAGAAACCTGAACCATCTCAGGTAAAAGCAGTAGCAGTACTCCAGGATCCTGTGGTCAGGAATGGAAAGTGGTTTTTAATTTGTTTTTATGATTGTTTGTTTTGCTGGTGGGTATCATCTTCAGTCTTCATTAAAATTCCTTTAAAGATCAACTCCCCAAACCACTGCAGTAACATCATTAACGATTCAGATAGCTTAATAGTGATTCTTGTTATCCTTACAGCGACTAATGGGTTGTAGCTGGACTACAATGTATTGGGAGATGCCTGTGGTTAATTTACTGATACAGTATTAATGACTCAGTTCACCTACAGAGTAACCTTCCTCTTTGGCCTTTGTTGAGAACTTTCATTATATTATCTGAAAAAGACAGTAAGAACCAAATGTATACCATTGATTTTCCTTCAATGAATCATTCTTGAAAAAGTGAATTTCGTAAGGTTATTCTAGGTCTCCAAATAAGCATTTCACAACTTTTTTTTCAACCCATACTTTCTTGCTGATAAACTTGAATGTCTTATAACTACTCCCTAAAATTTATAATACAACTTCTGGGAGGGGGCTTCCCCCAACTATTTAGAGAGCTAGTACTTTTGTATCTCCCCAGCAACCAAGAGGACACTGTCAAGCTCTGCTCTTTTGTAGTCTATGTTACCAGAAAAAAAAAAGTGATAACTTTTAATATTTGCTTTACAGATATAAATATATATTATAATTGATATGCTTTTTCAATCCACTATTTGTCCTCTCCTCCTGGAATTCAGATATGTATTCCCCCACCTGCTCCAGGATCCAGCCAATGAGAATCATTCATTGCTCTGATCTTTGTGTTCCTACTGGATTAAATCAGTTTTTTTCGGGGCGCCTGGGTGGCTCAGTCGTTAAGCGTCTGCCTTCGGCTCAGGTCATGATTCCAGGTCCTGGGATTGAGCCCCGCATCGGGCTCCCTGCTCTGCGGGAAGCCTGCTTCTCCCTCTCCCACTCCCCCTGCTTGTGTTCCCTCTTCACTGTCTCTCTCTCTCTGTCAAATAAATAAAATCTTTAAAAAAAAAAAAAAGGGGCGCCTGGGTGGCTCAGATGGTTAAGCGTCTGCCTTCGGCTCAGGTCATGATCCCAGGGTCCTGGGATCGAGTCCCACATCGGGCTCCCGGCTCAGTGGGGAGCCTGCTTCTCCCTCTGACCCTCTCCCCTCTCATGCTGTTTCTCTCTCGCTTGCTCTCTAAAAAATAAATAAAATCTTAAAAAAAAAATCAGTTTTTTCTCTATTTTTGGTATGAATATTTCACAGGTTATTTAATAATTCTCCTATTGACATTATTTCCACCTTATCATTGTAAACAAATGAATAAATATTCTTTTACATTTGTGCACAGGTCAAAGAGGATCAGTCTCTCATATAGAGTAGGGTCTTCAGTCAAAGGTATATTAGTAGCTGTCCATCTCTGCTAGAATCATAGCCCCCCTTTTTTTTCATTTTAATTCCAGTATAGTTAACATAGTGTTATATTAGTTCAGGTGTATAATATAGTGATTCAACAATTCCATACATCACACAGTGCTCATCACAACAAGTTCACTCCTTAATCCCCATCACCTATGTCACCCATGCCCCCACCCACCTCTCCTCTGGTAACCATCAGTTTTAGAACCACAGACTCTTAGGACAAGCTTGAGAATTCTGTTCTTGCACCACAGCAGTCAAGGGGAAAGCTTACCTTATACTCCACAATGTTGTCCTTACCTTTAGCAGTAACCATTCTTAAATCAAAACACAAAAAATGTAGTTCTCTAATAAAAAATGTAAAAGTATCCTAAGGCTATATTTTTCAAATTCAGGTCCAGACCCATTGGGAAGTCATGAAATCATTTGAGAGAGTCACTATCAGGATTGTTTTATTTTTTTTTTATTTATTTTTTTTAAAGATTTATTTATTTATTTATTTGAGACAGAGAGAATGAGAGAGAGAGAGAGAGAGAGCACATGAGAGGGGGGAGGGTCAGAGGCAGAAGCAGGCTCCCTGCCGAGCAGGGAGCCCGATGCGGGACTCGATCCAGGGACTCCAGGATCATGACCTGAGCCGAAGGCAGTCGCTCAACCAACTGAGCCACCCAGGCGCCCAGGATTGTTTTAATTAAATAGAGTAGAAAATATCAGGGAGCATAACATGTAGTAAAAGAGGACTGGTTCACAAAACTTTGGGTTCAGTTCTAGATCTCTGGACACATGTTTATAACTATGTATATACAAGGTCACATCATAAATAATATTTCTTACTATGAGTTACAGTCAAAAATTTTGAAAAACATACCATGAAAGTTTTCTGAGGAAAACCCTGTAGCCTTGGAAATAATTGATCATGAAGGAGGTCTGTTGTGAAGGGCTGTGTGTCAGTTTTACATTCTCCCTCTCGGTGTGGTATGCCTGTTCCTTTTGCTCTAAGTGGGAGACTTGCTTTCCCACCTAACCATAGAGCACAGCTGGTGCTCTTGAGGCGTGTGGGCAGTGTCTGGAGACTATAGACTCAGCCTCTTCAAGAATCCTCTGGATCGTTTGGGTAGCCTGGGTGGTTCATTCAGTTAAGTGTCTACCTTTGGCTCAGGTCTTGATCCCGGGATCCTGGGATGGAGCCATGCACTGGGCTTCCTGCTCAGCGGGGAGTCTGCTTCTTCCTCTCCCTTTGCCTCTCCCCACCCTCCCGCTTGTGCTCGCTCTTTCTCTCTCTCAAATAAATAAATAAAATCTTTTTAAAAAGAGAAAAGGAAAGAATCGTCTGGACCCATAGTCTCAGCAAAATCTCTAACATACACACACTCTCCTCTCTACCCCTAGGCCCAACCCCACCAGGCTAGGTCACATGAACTTTTTTTTCCTTTTTTTAAAATTTAAATTCAATTTAGTTAACATACAATGTATTAGTTTCAGGGGTAGAATTTAGTGATTCATCAGTTGCATATAACACCCAGTGCTCATTATATCAAGTGCCCTCCTTAATGCTCATCACCCAATTACCCCATCCCCCCCACCTCCCCTCAAGAAACCGTCAGTTTTTTTCCTATATTTAAGAGTCTCTTATGGTTTGCCTCCCTCTCTGTTTTCATCTTATTTTTCCTTCCCTTCCCCTGTGTTCATCTGTTTTGTTTCTTAAATTCCACATGTGAGGGGCGCCTGGGCGGCTCAGTCATTAAGCGTCTGCCTTCGGCTCGGGTCAGGATCCCGGGGTCCTGCGATTGAGCCCCACATCGGGCTCCCTGCTCAGCAGGAAGCCTGCTTCTCCCTCTCCCACTCCCCCTGCTTGTGTTCCTTCTCTCTCTTTGTCTCTCTCTGTCAAATAAAGAAATAAAATCTTTAAATAAAAAAAAATTCCACATATGAGTGAAATCATATGGTACTTGTCTTTCTCTGACTAACTTATTTCGCTTAGCATAGTACCCTATAGTTCTATCCACGTCATTGCAAATGGCAAGATTTCGTTCTTTTTGATGGCTGAGTAATATGCCATTGTATATATATTCTACATCTTATTTATCTTCTGTATCCATTCATCTGTTGATGGACATCTGGGCTCTTTCCATATTTTGGCTATTGTGGCCATAGCTACTATAAACATTAGGATGCAGGAGTCGGCTGCTTAACCGACTGAGCCAACCAGGAGCCCCCAAAAAAGGATTTTTTAATCACAATTTATTAATTGTCCACTGAGGGGCGCCTTGGTGGCTCAGTTGGTTAAGTCAGGCTCTTGATTTCAGCTCCTGTCTTTTATTTCCTATGATGAGTAGTTAGTACCTTATACATAGTACTGTTCAATAAGCCTTGATTATAATGGATTGAGAGCAAGGCTAAAATGGACTCTCCATTTCACTTTACTTAGAACACGCATTCCCCAGCTGAATTCCACTAAGACCAGCTTTGCAATATGCGATGTCATGCCCTCACTCTCCAGTGTTGTACCCTGGTACTGCAGAGGAAGAGCAGGGATAACGTTACTTCTCAACCTGTAAAGGTTTTATTGAACAGCTCAGAAAATCAAAAGAGAAAATGTGGGAGTAACATTAGTGAAGGCTTAAAAGTCTGAGAAGCACTTTAGAACTTAAAAATGGGAGGTTGTCTGTGAAAGACAAACAGACCCACAAAGAAGCATAGCCAATTAGAGGGGGCAAAGGAGTGTTTGTGACCTTGACCATGTGGCTAGGTTGGGTAGTTTCTTATCTAATTCAGGAATCCCCTAAAAATAGGAGTGCATTCACTCTGACTGAAAAAGTGAGAATTTGATGCAGATTATCCCTGGATGCACTGTGCACAGCACTTACTGGAGGAGATTTTCTTCAATCAGAAGTCTGAAATGTATTGCTGTAGTCTTGCTTTAAGCTTTGGGTCATCTCATGTGGCAGAGGAGAGACTTAGGCTCTGAAGTCTCCAACTATCTCCAGAGGCCTGGGACCCCTGGACCTAATTAGCTTTGGGATAGCAAGAAATAAAAGAGATACCATTTCACATTTGTAGAATACTTTCCAGTCTACTAAGCACTTAATAAGCACATTTTCTAATGTTATCCTCATGACAGCCCTGTGAAGTGCACTGAGCAGATAGCCCTCATTTTACAAATAGGAAAACCCAAATCACAAAGCCAGTCAGAAACAGAACCAGAGTCTTCTGACTCTTTAACAAGAGCTTCTCCATCCCACCATGCCACTGAGTTCCAGAAGAGGGAAAAACTATCTAACAATACTTGCCACTTAGATGAATGGTTGAAACTGATTGGCTTGACATGGTCAGCCATTGGCTGAATCTGGGCCCCTCTGCTTTTTGTTCACAGAGCCATGGGGGTGTTGATGTCCAAACGGCAGACAGTGGAGCAGGTGCAAAAGGTGAGCCTGGCTGTGTCTGCCTTCAAGGATGGGCTACGGGACAGGCCTTCCATCCGACGCACTGGTGAGCTTCCAGCGTCCCGCCGTGGCACTGTAGAGGGCTCTGTCCAGGAGGTACAGGAGGAGAAAGGAGCAGAGGCAAGTACCCCAGTGCTCCTGGAAGAGAGCAGTGTCAGTCGTGCGGCTTGGGAGAGGCTCCGAGATGGGCGTGGAGTGGAGCCGGAGGAGTTTGACAGGACTAATCGTTTCACACCCCCTGCCTTCATCCGCCCCACCCGGAAGCTGGATGATGACAAACCTCCTGATATCTGCTTGGAGCCCAGGGAACTTGTGAGTACCCAGTTAGGGCACAGTCCTCAAGTCTTAGACCTTCTGAGGATCAGGGAGGCCTGGGTACAGTTAAAGTGATACTCAAAAACAAAAAACTCCAGAAAGGTGCAGTTGAGTCCAGAACAATCTTTGAATTTCTTCTACAAGAATAAAAATGTTACATCCTGGATTGGTCTTAGTGAAAGACTAGAGACAGTGGGTGATAAGGAATGACACCATGGCAGGTCTTTTGCCATCCGTCTCACTAAGGGATAGTAGTAGTCCCTGTAGGAGGCATTTGGAAATTTGTGGGCATTCAAGAAGGTCATCATCACTGGAGTTGCTACTGGTTTTTGGTGCCAAGAAAACCAGGGGTGCTAAGTGCCCTGCAATGTCTGGGACAGTCTTTCAGAACAGATTATTTTTTTCCAAAAATGTTAGTAGCATCCCTGTTCAGAAAAATGGTCACAGAGACCTGAGCTGATGGAAGAGCTTTCTGGTTCTTGTCTTCCAGAGAGAAAGCTCTATCACCTTAACACAAGCTTCAGTTGGAATTGTTCCTCTGGGCTGCTCCAGGGATATTCAGCCCCATGTGGGTAACTCTGTGTTTCGTGGCCATAGGATCTTGCTGCCTACACTGGGAATGAATACACTATTTATTCTTTTTGCCAGGTTGTCAACGATGAGATGTGTGATGTCTGTGAAGTCTGGACAGCTGAGAGCCTCTTCCCATGCAGGATCTGCACCAGGGTTTTCCATGATGGCTGCCTGCGCCGCATGGGCTACATCCAAGGAGATAGTGCAGCAGAGGTGACTGAGACAGCCCACACAGAAACTGGCTGGAGCTGCCACTACTGTGTAAGCCTGGACTGCAGGAACTATGGGCTGCAGCACCACAGGGAACTTGGCACTTTTCTGGAGACCCAGTCTAAGAACACTGGTTTCTAGGCAGTGACCTAAAAGAGTTTTCCAATAGTAGATACTGGAATCCTCAAACTTGGTCAGGCTTTCTCTACCTCAGTACTATGACATTTTGGACACAGTAATTTTTTTTGTGAGGGATGTGTGCAATGTAGTATGTTCAGCAACATCCCTGGCCTCTACCCCATTAGATGTCAGTAGCACCCACCCTCAGTTGTGACAACCAAAAATGTCTCCAGATATTACCCAGTGTGTCCTAGGGGAACAAAACTCATCCCAACTGAGAAACACTGAGCTAGAGGAATCAATGGTTAGGATGAGGCCTAATTACTCAATTGTAATTCTGCTTGGAATAGTGCTTTCTCTAATAGTCTTTAGTTGTCATTCATCGTACTCATCTGAAAAACCATCCTAACCAGCTTGCTTCCAATAGGTAAAGGTTCTAACATGGTAACACTTCTTAGTCCTAAGATCATCACTTGGCCTACCACCTAACTCTTAGGATGAAGAACTTCATCTCTAATGTGATCATTATGTAAATTAAATATCAAAGGTCTGTTGATTCAGAACTTTGCAAATTATATATAAATGCCTTCCAACTTTCTTTTGAGATTTTATTTATTTATTTGACACAGAGAGAGCACAAGCAGGGGGAGCAGCAGAGGGAGAGGAAGAAGCAGACTCCCCAGGGAGCTGGATGCAGGGCTCTGTCCCAGGACCCTGGGATCATGACTGAGCCAAAGGCAGACACTTAACCCACTGAGCCACCCAGGCACCCTGCCTTCCAACTTTTAAAAAGACAAAAGCCAGATTCGTATCCATTTCTCAGCACATCTGAATAGAATTTAAGTCTTGCTTTATTCGGGGCGCCTGGGTGGCTCAGTCGTTAAGCGTCTGCCTTCCCCTCAGGTCATGATCCCAGAGTCCTGGGATCGAGCCCCGCATCGGGCTCCCTGCTCAGCGGGAAGCCTCCTTCTCCCTCTCCCACTCCCCCTGCGTGTGTTCCTTCTCTCGCTGTGTCTCTCTCTGTCAAATAAATAAATAAAATCTTAAAAAAAAAAAGTCTTGCTTTATTGGTCTGTTATCCTGCAGATATCTTCTAAGAAACATCTCTGCAGACTCCCCCCTCTTCTTCCTACTGCCTAGAAGAAAGCAAAGATGTGCAACTTTCTAACAAATATCACTTTATCTATGGCTTGTCTATAAAATCAAGTATAGAACAGTTATTCCCAGCCACTTACACACCTTTTCCCCAGCTGAAGTATGTCACAGTAGACCCTGCTCTGCACACCATCTTCTCTAGTCACTACCCCTCCAAACACCAGCCTTTTCATTCACGGCAACTCTGCCCTGCAGTGTGCTGCTGTGGGACCCAGTTGAAGGTGTCTCCTTCCTAACCCTTCCTGGTTTTCTGTCACAGTCCTACCATCATTACTACCACTTGCCGGACTTTTTACAAAGGTTTCTTCCAAGCTCCTCCCCTTTCTTCCCTTCCCAGCCAGGCTTCTTGAAAAGACTCCATCATCTCCTAGTGGCCCCTCAACCACCTGTAATTCAGCTTCTGCATCTGTCATTCTGCTGGATTGGTTCTTTCTAAAGCACCAATGACCTGACTGTCAGGTCTAGTGACCTTTTCTCAAGCATCTTCTTACTTGACGCCTATGAGGTATTTAGCACTCCCTTATTGCCTCCTCTTTTGGGGGGGTGATTTAAGTAGTTACGAGAATTATCATGTAAAATAAGGAAACCAGAGAAAATAGAAAATCAGTTAAGTCCCATCATAGTTGTATCACCACTGTTAACATTACCTTCTACGTTGTACAACTCTCTTTTCTTGGCTTCCATTACTTCCTACTGATTCTCCTCCTACCTTCTTCTCTGACCATTCTGAGTGCCCTTAGTTAATTTCTTCTCACAGTCCTAAATGCTGATCTTCCTTGGGGTTCTGTTGTTAACACTCTTCTTTTCTCATTGCACACACTCTCTCCCTGGGTTATTTCATGTACTTCAGTGGCTATAGCTACCATCTAAACACAAATGATTCCCAAACCTGTGTGTCCAGACCTAAATTTCTTGTCTCTTGGATTTCCATCCATCTTGATGCCTCACGGGTGCTTCACATCAGCATGCTCCAAAATGAAACTCTTTTTCCAGAAACCTGTTCTCTCTAAATTTCTTACCTCTGAACAGTAATACCACCCTTCCAGTTACCAATACCAACTCATTCCTCTCCATCCCTCACATCCAGTAAGTCAACAGGTCCTACTGATCTACCTATTAATACCTCTCAAATTTCCTCTCTTTTCCATTCTCATGTCTTAGGTTAGTCATTCATCTTTTCTTACCCGCACTATAGCAACAGCTAACTAACTGTTCTCCATGTCTCTAGACTTTGCCCCTCTGATTCATTCTCCACACAGCAAAGATCTGACCACGGCACTACATATGCCCTTAAAAACCATTCAGTCAGCCACCTGGGTGGCTCAATCGGTTAAGCGTCCGACTCTTGATCTCAGCTCAGGTCATGATCTCAGGGGTCATGAGTTCAAGCCCCACATTGGGCTCCATGCTGGGTGTGGACCCTACTTAAACATTTGGTGACTCCCCTTTGCCCTCAGAATAAAAGCCCATTTGAAGGGCTCACTAATGGGCATTTGAGGCACTTCACAGTCAGGCTTCTGCCTACCTCTCCCTTATCTTTTGTCATTCCTCTCTACTCTCCCTCCCCACACATACACACACACCCTACACTCCAGCCCCGCTGAACATTTCATAGTGTTACACCCCACTGTGCCCAGCATATACCAAGTGCTCAATAAGTGTTATTGAAAGAATTGAGTTCTTTATGAAATCTACAAATGAATACTCATGAAATGTCTGCTCCTCTTCTTTGCTGGTATTTTAAGAGAGGAAAATAACCTACTAGAAAGAATCTTTGACAGCTTAAAGACTATAAGACTGTAAGTTAGTATTAATGAAATAACATATCACTGCTGTTTTGGAATTAAAATTTCTATGGCACCACAAAAAACTCATTTGGTTTTAGGAACTTCGTCATGATGGCATCTCTTTCAAAACCATTCTGGATTATTTAAAATAATACAGCCTACTAGGAGCAGAGTTAGAATTAAACTTATTTTTTAACTGAAATACTCTTTGAGCACAGTCTAACATAGAAGCCAAATACATAAAATGAATAAAGATGAAGCTGCTGTGGTTGATGGAGCTGGGGATTCACAACCATGCCCACTTATTAGTCCCCGTTTCCCTTGCAGCAGCTTCCCAAGGCACTTCCAAGGATTCCTTAGGGTATCTCAGAATAATTTTTTTTAAAGATTTTATTTATTTATTTGACAGAGAGAGAGATAGTGAGAGCAGGAACACAAGCAGGGGAAGTGGGAGAGGGAGAAGCAGGCTTCCTGCCGAGCAGGGAGCCCGATGTGGGGCTTGATCCCAGGACCCTGGGGTCATGACCCAAGCTGCAGGCAGCCGCTTAATGACTGAGCCACCCAGGCACCCCTCAGAGAATAATTTTAAAACTACTGTTCAGTAAAACGGTCTCAGGTCTAGAATCAGGATACCTGGCTTCTGGAGAAGATTCTGCTCCAGAGTTGGGCAACTCTGAGCAAATCCTTTCCTCTTTCTGGGGCTTCAATCTCTGATTATGATTAGAGGCTGGGATTAGATGATCCCAGAATGGCCTTCAAGTTGAAATACAATTTCCATCCTTCTTGATCTTGGCCTTTCTTTCTTACTGGTCTGTATGGCCACTGACTCAGATCTTTCTTTCTTTTTTTTTTTTTTTTTTTTTTCAGGATAATCTCAACTTGCTGCTAACTGAGGAGGAAATGTACAGCCTCACAGAGACCTTTCAGCAGTGTAAAGTCATTCCTGGTAAGGCTGGACAGTGCTGCCAGATGGAGAGCGGCTGGCACATTTTTCCTCTGTACTTTCTAGGATAAACCATAAAAGGAGTATGCTGGAATTTGGAGAGTAGGGGTAAATAGGTCCCTGTTCCCAAGCTGTTGGCCAGCAGGGGCACCCACACACCCGCCCATCTTCCCCACCCACCACATCCTGAGTTATCCTGGCTATGAGAGACAAAGACTCCACGAAAGCTATGGATGTAGGGGTTCTGGAGGGTACTCTAGAAGTAAATGGAGGTGCCCCAGAGGCTGAGGAAAGGGTGGGCTTGGCTAGTATGGGGTGCCTCCCACAGATTGCTCCCTGACACTGGAGGACTACCTGCGCTACCGCCACCAAGCAGCAAAGCGGGGGGACAGTGACAGGGCTCTAAGCGAGGAGCAAGAGGAGCAGGCAGCCCGCCAGTTTGCAGCCCTGGACCCTGAACATCGAGGACACATAGAGTGGCCTGACTTCTTGTCCCATGAGTCCCTCCTACTTCTGCAGCAATTGCGTCCCCAGGTGAGGGCCAGCTGGGGTGAATGTCTATGGGATACTGGGTGGCAGAGACCTAGGAAGCATGCTGGGCAGGTTGGAGGAGCACTAGGTACTGTCTTAGCAAGGACCATAGAAGGAAAGGGCTCACATTCCACCCAGTGACAGGTGATCCAGTGCCTAAGCTGGGGAAACTGCTCAAGGAAGATTGATTTACACTGGACCAAACTGCAAATGTCAATGCTACCAGAAAGGCTCTGGGCAGCTTCAAAGGGAGGCTGCAGAGATGGTAATGGAGGTAGGATTCTCTATGGCTTGACATTTTACAAAATATTTTCACCTCCAAGATCTTAACTTGTCTCTTCTTCCTCAGAACTCTCTGTTAAGGCTTCTGACAGTGAAAGAGCGGGAGCGAGCCCGGGCCACCTTCCTAGCCCGGGGCAGCGGGAGCACTATCAGTGAGGCAGAGTGCCGTGGAGCCCAGCACTCTTGGTTCTGCAAACACCTTGCAGAGGCTCCTTCCTGCAGTGTCAGGTCTGTTCCTTACCAATCCCTGCCCCCACTCACATGTTCTCCTCCTTTTTCCATGCCAAATGGCCCTTGGTATGAAAGGTACCTCTCGGTTTCTTCTGTCCACAGACAGGAGAGGATCTTCCTGTGCATTAGACAAAGGACACTGCCTCTTATTGTTCAAGGCATAGGGCATCCTCTACTCCAAACTGTCGCCCATGTCAGAAAAGTGTGGACATGCATATCCGAGCCCTGGGTTCCCCAGAGTTTGGGAGGGGTCAGACCTTTCATTTTCCCACTCCTAACCACATATCCTTGTGTCCAGCAGCATCAGCCATGTGGGTCCCATAGCAGACAGCAGCCCAGCCAGCAGCAGCAGCAAGAGTCAAGACAAGGCTCTGCTGCCCACAGAGCAGGAGTCCAGGTGAGTAGGATCCCCTCACTGGGCTATCTTCACTCCTGACTCTTCAACACACACAAGTGGGCATTGCCCACTGCTACCCCCAAACAGCAAGTGCATATCCCAGAAACCAGGCTCCAAAAATGTCCATTTGACCCAAGATCCATAGGGTCAGCCGGCTGGACTGTCAGCATGGAAGCACAGCCAGCCATACCTATGTCAGCCAAAAGCCAGGGCTTCCCTGAGCTTTGCCCGGCTTAAGCCGTACTGCCACTGGGATCAGGTCTCATGAGCAACCAGGCTCTACAGCCAATCTCACAAACCTGTTCTTTGCTCCCACTCCAGATTTGTGGACTGGCCTACCTTTCTGCGGGAGAATGTTGTCTACATCTTGGCTGCTCGCCCCAACAGTGCAGCAATTCATCTGAAACCCCCAGGATAGCATGGAGCAGAGAAGCTCAGTTCAGAGACAGTGGTCTCCCTCCTCTCCTTTTTCTCTTTCCCTCTTTCCCCCACCATCCTCTGGTACTGAGACTTGTGGGGATGGAGTATTGCCAGCATCTCAATTTGCCACTAAGCTTTATGGAACTGAAATCACTGCGTCCCTCACAACAGAGGCAGTATATGCATTGCTGCAGGGAAAAGCCCTGGGAACTGTGGCAGTAGCCACTCTTGGACCCACCCCCCAGCCCTCACATCCTAGACTAGACCTGCCACTGCACACATATGTGTGCACACACACACATACACACATGCCTAGCTGTCCATGCCTACAGAGACCTGGTTCTTCTTGGTTGAAAAAGGACCAAAGTTCCTTTGTGAAGCTCCTGGTGTAGATGAGAGGGGTCTCTATTCACCCCTTCTATTGGCCAGTTCTGATTTCCAATAGACAAGTCTCTGGCCAAGTGATTCTTAATAATAGGGCATCAGACTCACACGCTGTCCTAGAGATGCTGATAGGCTCCCTCTTCCTCCGTTGAAAATCCCTTCTGTGGTGAGCCACTGTTCTGGTAGGTATGTGCTCTGTCCCTCAGCTATGTTGGGGTGGGAAAGTTACTGAAAACCACCACTGCACTTCAGCCACTGTTTATTTCAATTCTAATTTCTAGTGACAGAGAAGGCAACTAGTCTATGGAGTGAGTCTTAATTAGAAGAAGGGAAGGCAGCCCCTCCCAGGAACCCAGGATTCTAGGAACCTCTCATCCAGGTCTTCCAAGTCCAAAAGTCTTTAGCAGAACAGTCAAAAACCAAGATGAGCCATCCTGGCCCCTGTTTTACGGATGGGAACACATGGGCCAGAGCCCAAAGGGCCTGAATGGAATAAGTATGATGGCAGGAATCACAGCCCTCTGTATTAGATGCTTTACCCAAGTCAACTACCACAGAGACCTGAAGCCTGATCTCCAGTGAGGACAAGGTTTGGATGGAAAATGAGAGGAGAAGGCTCATGATTTTCCATCTTTCCACCTCAGCCCAAATGTAGACCTAGAAGAGCTTGCCATTGTATGGAGAACAAGAACCAGCCTCCCACAGCCCAAGAAAGAGCAGCAAGGACTCCTTTCAACCACCCTGACAAGCTGGAGCCAAGAAGAGGATCTGCATCTCAGCTCTCTTTCTTTCTCTCTCTCTCTATCTTTTTTTTTTTTTTTTTTTTTTTTTGCATCTCACCTCTTCAGCAGAGAAAGCCCCAGCAAAGCCTCACTGAAGGTTCATCCTTCTCCCCCTCACTGAGATATGGCCTGAGTTGCTGCTTCTCCCTGCTGCTCACTACATGTCTTTCCCCACCAAGCCTGGCTTCTAAGTCCCAGCTGTCCTCCCTAAGTTCTCATTAAGTTCTCAAGTCACTGCGTGTTGTGGGTCAGCCCTGGCCCTGGAATCTAGGTTCTGTTTCCAATCTGAATACTAGAGAGTGGGGTTGGTTCAGTCATGTTAAAGCTAATATAGTTCCATTGCTCAAGGCACTTGTACTGAATTGGGTGCTAACAGAAGAAGTAGCATACGGCTCAGTGTTGAGATGCTCAGAGGAAAGTGGGGAGCTGCAACCAGGGTTGTGGTAACAACACCTTCTGTAGAAACTGCCTGACCTAGAACAGGTTGTGAAGCTTCGGGGGTTGGATTATTCAGGTCTAAAATGAAGCAGACAGAAGATGAATCTGGCTGGGTTCATGTGTATGGCCCTGAACATTTCAAAACAAAAACAGCTTTTTGTAAATACTGCTTAGCCATATTCCCAAGACTGATCATAAGAGGGGCTGTTATTCAGTTTAGCCAGAATGAAAACAAAAGTGAAAGCACATGACTCTTGGGTCCAAGGACTGCCTCTGAAGCAGCCAGACCTGGGGTTTTACACTGAAAAATATGAAAGCACATTCAGCACAGGGGCTCTTGCTTCTTCTCCTGGTAAATCACCTTGTATGCAATGGCCTTGGGCTGCTGGATCTCACAGATAGGGCATTTTGAGTAGAGACAAGCTCTGGGCTTTGTCTGAACAGCTTTTTCCTCCTGCCTCATCATCAGTAATAGGGACTGGAAATCTTATCTTGTTCCCTGATCCTTCATAGACAAGGTGATGCCTACCTCTCTGGAGCTGCAGCTTCTAGCTTTCTGTGGATGAGTGGTAAAACACCATGGGCCAGATGCATCTCAGGGCCTGGCAAAGCAGTATTTCTTTCATGGTAGGATCAGGCCCATTTGGGACTATTCCTCTTCCTAATCCAAGACAGCAAATGTCCTTGGTAGGGGCATGCTACAGAGGGCCCAGGGGACCCAGCATAGAGTTCCCAGTCCACAAGAATCCTAAGACGCAGAAAAGCCTGGAGGAGCAACTAGCCTCTTCTCCATTAGCCATCTAGTTTTTTACCAATGAAAAGATTCCCTTGCTCCCCCAGACCAGAGTTGTAGAAGCCCCACCCCAACACCCCTGTCTGGGATCTCCCTCTGCAGTGCTCTAATCCATGGAGCCCCTCTGCAATACATATGAAGATGTTCAAACTTTTATAAACCAAGTGAAGCCCATTCCCTTTTCCTTTTCATCAAGTCTTTCCATCACTGTGACTGTCTGAAATTCTGCCAAGTACAAAAATCAGTGTCTGACTCTAAGGGTTTGAGAAAATGTTCTAGTCATTTCTTCTTGGCTACCCAGAATTGAAATCAATCTTATTACAAACACCACCCACTCCACCCACCATAAACAGAGATTAGGGTTGCTCCTTTGAAGACTCCTTGCCCTAAGCCTATTTTTCACCCAACACCCCTCTTCCCTATGCTCAGATTTAAAGACAGGGGCATCTGGATGTCATCCAGACACAGCGGAGCTGCAGGGACAGAAAGTAAGCTGAGGCAGTTAGCTGTGGCTACATAACCTCTCCAGGTCTGCTCTGTGGCCTCCTCTCCTGTGACCAGCCTTCCTCAACAGAGGTAGGCTCTGCTTTTGAGCAGTGGCCCCTTTGGATCCCAGAGATGGAGCAGTTCCCTTGCTCCCAGGTACTGACCCACTCTCAAGTGCTTTTCTTCCTTTGAGAACAGCCAAAGCCATGAGGACATTACCTCTTCCCACCTTCAGCCCAAGTGACTGGGGCTAAAGGGCAGACATGCCTTTTTAGCCCTGGTGCTCCCTATGGGATGTCACCCTGGCCTTATTTGAGTGGCCAGATCTGGGAGTTTCCCTATTCCTATCACTAACATTGGAGGTACAGAATCAAACTGCCTGGGAAGAGGGCAACTCTCTGGGGTGTGAGCCCAGGATTGTGCCTAGGCCTCTTCGTCTGAAGCACAACCTCAACCATTGCAGGTCTCATGGCTTCAGTAAGAGTGGTGCAAGGAAGCCCTAAGAAGGAAGCTCAGCAGAAGCTGTATGGCAGGGCCTCAGGCTAGCCATGATCACCCCAGAGCCAAGAATAACCTCCAGGCAGGATTGGTAGGAGGCTCTAGTGATCCTATAAGCATGACCCCTTCAAACTAGCAGAGTAAAGGCAGGTATATACTTGGCACTAAAAGAACAACTGGATGTCAGAACAATATCCTGGCAGCACCAGTACCATAACCCCTTTTCACTCCTCAATTTATAGTGGAATAAAATTGCTACTTTCCCAGTGCCACTTAGTTTGAATTTGCCCAGATCTCTCTCCAGGCCCCTGGCTGCAGCTCCGACAACAGAGAACTGGATGAAGAATGGAAAATATTAATGCATCATACCTGTTCCCTATAGCTCAGTCCTGGAATGTGGTAGGACTGGGCATTTCCCCTGCTGTTGCTTTCCTGCTGCCACTGCTTTTGGCAACCTTAAAAGGAAAGAAAATAAACAGGTAACAGAATTTCCACTAGACCCAACTAGCATTAAGGAAAACCTTCCCTCTGAGCCACATGACCTGATGACCCAGATTGTGGACAGTGTGTCACATCTGGTCTGGGCTAGTGACTAAGAAGTCCAATCACATTCCAATTTGTATAGCATGGGTTGGCCTGACCATAGATGAGAATGTCACGGTATAAGCAGCAAGGCCTTTTCATATCCATGTGAAATAAGAGCCTTCAAACTTATGCTCCTTTAAGAGATGGCTGGTGATCTGTCTCCCAGTCAAACATAGGCTTGTGAGGGGAGTTCTGAGAACACTCAAGTAAGTGGAAGATCCAATGCCCTCTGGTCCCTCATGCCCTTCCTATGTTCTTTTCTGCGGAAGGTAACTTGACAGTAAGCTGAGGGGAACATCCCCAAGCTCTGTCTTCCCACCAGTACAGCTGCATGCTCCTCTCCATGGCTCAGCCTTCACTCTTGAAGGAGCTGATGCTCCCAGAGGCTGGGCACAGTGGAAATCATAATAAAGAGATTGCGATGCTATTTTGGCTTCCTTCTTCCTGTTATTTGGGGCACCTGCTGAGTTTCTGTGTGGTTTCCTATAATTAGCCAATTCCTGAATCTAAGATGCTGCTTGGCCTCCAGGAAGAATGCAATACACTGGTTCTTTCTAGAGCTTTCCTGGTACTGACCTTCCCAAGAATCAAATGATGGGTGGGAGGAGGCAGGGGTTCCACCATGGACACAGAGGGGGAAATGAAAGCACTGAAGAGAGAAGCCAGAATTTTCTAAGAAACTGAGGAAAAGGTAAGGCCTCCAAGCTCTCTGCAATGTATTCCACCACCACCACAACCAAGGGCCAGTTTTAGACACATTTCTCCTCCCAATCCCTGCTGGGTGACAAAGTAGGAAAGCTAGCTGGCTATGTTTTCTCCTGGTCTTCTGGGTCTTTCTTGGTAGAGAATTTTCTCCCCGTTTTTGCAATGTTTTAATGTGATATGATAGAGTTGGGTAAACTAAGGTCAAGAGAAGCTTTTCAGAGGACTGTGAAATCCCCCTTTCATCACCTTTACCTGATAAGAACAGAGCCAGTACCTATAGGTAGGAAAGTATCTCTAGTGTGGATCAGTGGTGTATAGACTTACCTCTAAACCATAGGGCCCCCAAATACAAATCATTGCTAATATTTTTGAGCAGTTACTATGCACTGGGCAGTTCTAAGTGCTTTACATAAGATCATCTTCAAAAAACAACCCTGAGGTTTGTTTATAGATGAGAAAAGTGAGGAATAGGGGCGCCTGGGTGGCTGAGTCGTTAAGCATCTGCCTTCGGCTCGGGTCGTGATCCCAGGGTCCTGGGATTGAGCCCCACGGGCTCCCTGCTCGGCGGGAGGCCTGCTTCTCCCTCTCCTACTCCCCCTACTTGTGTTCCCTCTCTCGCTGTGTTTCCCTCTGTCAAATAAATAAATAAAATCTAAAAAAAAAAAAAAGAAAAGAAAAGTGAGGAATAGAGGCTGAGAGTTTCTCAAGGTTACGCAGTCACATAGGAAGCAGGGGAACCGGGTAGTCTGGCTTCAGTGCCCATGTTCTTAACTACTTTATTGTGCTGCCTGTCAGGGTACACCTCAAGGAAACAGCTGCTCTGTAGTCTAGCATATCCCGTTTCCATCCTGGGAACAGAAACATAAGCAGCCAGTCCTGTAGCCATGTCACAGGATTTCTTACAACCTGCACAACTCACCTCATTCACTCACATGGCTCCCATACCTCTCCTCCCCAGAATTGTCAAATGGAGGTCCATCAGGCTCAGGACAGCTTGAGATCTTAAGCATCCCTTCTGTCTC